CTTCCCTCTTTCGGAATTTCAAGAGCCAAGAACTCAGAATGGGTCGTGTTTCTTCTTCAGAGGGGCTCTTCCATTGCCTAAATCCTTGGGACCCCTCCAGCTCCAGAATTCCCAAGGGCCACAGCCTTAGGCTGTGAACCCCACAGACTACAATGTGGATGATGCTCCAGAACAGTGGGACATGGGGGCTCTGAGAAAGCCCTTCCCAGTCCCATACTCAGGGGTGAGCTGAGGGTTATATGATTCCAAAGCCTGACTGGGGTTTAGGCTCTCCTACTAACCAGTTGTGTGACCTTGGGCAAGTCACTTACCTCCTCTGAGTCTTGGTTTTCTCAATTGTAAAAAAAAGGGGGGGACTATAAAACATACCCTAAGAGTTGCCATAAGAAATGAAGCGTATGTTGAATGTATAATATTTCATCAGCAGTTCACAAACTCCCTATGCCTCACTTTCCTCATCTGCATAGTGATGAGAATGTTTTGTGAGAATTAACTCAATACATGAAAAGTGCTTAGAATTATATGTGCCATATAGCAAACATAAAGTGGTAAAATACAATTATTAGTCCTGCCAGTGTGGCTCAGTGGTTGAGTGTTGACCTATGAACCAGAAGGTCTGTTTGATTCCAGGTCAGGGCACATGCCCGGGTTGTGGGCTCGATTCGCAATGGGGACAGCATGCAGGAGGCAGCCAAACAATGATATTCTCTCATCATTGATGTTTCTATCTCTCTCTCCCTCTCCATTCCTCTTTGAAATCCATAAAAATATAGAAAAATACACAATTATTAGCATTTTGCTGCCCCACCTTTATCATCTATTTATCTATCTACAAAACTCTAGACTTTGTTTTTATTAGTTTTGTCACTAATACCTTTTCTTGTTCCAGGATTGCATCCAGGGTACCACATGACAGTTGTCATGTCTCCTTAGTTTTCTCTGGTCTGTGACAGTTTGTAGCTTTTTTTGGTTTTCATTAACTTGACAGTTTTGAGGGGTATTGGTCAGATATTTTGTAGAGTGTCCTTAATTTGGTTTGGTCTGATGTTTTTCTCAGTTAGAAACATCAATGTTGCCTCCTGTACTCGCTCTGACTGGGGATGGGACCTCCAAGCTAGGTATGTGCCCTGACTGGTAATCTAACCCACAACCTTCGGGTACACAGGATGGTATTCCAACCAACTGAGCCACACTGGTCAGGGCTCCAATTTTGTTTTTAATGGCAATTAATTCTTTGGGTCCCTTTGTTAGGTTTCTTCTTTAGGATGGAGGGAAGGAGAGTCTGGGAGGCTAAAAGCAATATTCAGTCAACTTAAGCTAAGACTTGCCTAGGTCAGGGCACTTGGACCATGACCTTGGGCAGGAGAGGTGGCCAGACTGGTCAGAGGTGGGCAGAATAGGACTTATAATTCATCATGAACGAAACCCCAAGTGAAGGCAAAAAGGGAGGTTCCACGCCCAGGCTTAGGAGGCTCATGGGACAGGAGGTAGATAGAGGAGAAACTGGAGAAGGGCTGCAGGCAAGCTTCTCCTCTCAGCTAGACTGTCCTGAGGGGCCCCATTAGCACGAACCACAAAAGAGAGTACAACCCCAATAGCACTGCCATCCCAAGCCTGAGGTGTGGACAGACTTGGGGACATCCAGGCTTATGTCACCCATTGCCTGGGCCAACACAGCTGATTCTGGGGACCTGGAAAAACCATCTGGAGCCTGTCTCAGTGCCTGGTCTGAGGAGCAGCTCCCAGCCTGGGAGGATGCTTCTCAGAAATGGGCAGGATCAAACAGCTTGTGACGTGTCTGCATGCGCTCTCTTTCCTGAAATGGGAGTGTGGCGGGTGGTGAACAAGCTGTGCCTCTCTGCCTAGGTTCTCACAGGCTTTTGCCAGATTTCTGAACCTGTTCTGGCGCAGAGGTGCACTTAGTGGTAGGAACTGGGGTGAAGAGGTAGGTTCTCTGCATTAGCTACACACCTGGGTCTACCCCTCCATTGTTTGGCCTCTGAGCCCATCTGCCCTGTCTCCTCCTTCCTCCTTTACCCTTTTCTCATGCCAGGTGGCCCTCAGGGGCTATCACAAGACAATTCTCTAAAGGCTCTGTTTTGCCCCAGAATGCCTGGGCTGGGCGGGAATGGTAGGGTTGACTGGAAGATTGAACTTTGGTCAGGGAACAACTCTAGACAAATCACTTCCCCAACTCTAGGCCTAAGCCTTCTCAATTGTAAAATGTGGGGTCAAATTCAATTATTGTTTCATTGCCCTTTAAAAAAGCTCTATTAGTTATAATAAATATTACTCTATAATTTATAGATTATTCATAATCTATAATCACTAATCTATTAAATTAATAAAAATCCAACATAAAATTGCCCCTGCTTCATTCTGAAGTGACATTAATATTTGTGTTGGTTTCTAACACTTGCTAGTCCTTGTTCAGGTACATATTCAATTTTAATGTATTTATAGTGTAGGGAGCGGCTATAGGGTTAAGCCTCGGACTGACCTGTGGGAGGGCCACAAACAAGTCCCAGCTTGGAGGGCAGAGCCCTCTTAGTGTAATTAAGCTTAACCTCACAGCCCTCCCTAGTTCCTTGTAGGTAGCTAATGGGCTGTGGGAGATGCAGCAAGTGCTGCCAAAACAAGTGAAACTCACAAGAACATTGTAACTATATTGACCACTACCTTGTTTTTCTCTGACTATAAAATAAAGCCTCAGCTTGCCGGCTGGGTTTTTTCTGTGTTCTCATCCAGGCATGGGATATCAGCCGAGCCCCAGCTATATTCTCTTGTCTGTTTTTTCTTTAATCCTTCACCGCCCCTCCTCAGGCTCACGGAACCCTTGGCTGTGCTGGCACGGCACATATAGTAATAGCATAAGTATATTTAACATTTTCAATTAACATTACACTGTTTTTTTTCCTTTTCCTTTTTATACCTACACTCTTTTTCCCCCATTCTAATTTGCTGAGGTAACCAATGCTAATAGCTTAATTATGTATGCACACATATGTGAATATAGCACAATGTATAGAATTTGCATTTGGGGGAGACAGGTTAATATTTAATTTACAAAACTATATAATTTCTCTGCAACTTTCGTTTCTCATTTAGCCATATATTGTGGAAATCACACCAGGCCAAGAGACAGTACATAATTCCATAGTATGGATGAAGCTATCACAGTTTACCCAGCCACCATTCCCTGATTGATTGGGATTCGGGTTATTTCTAGTGGTTTTATTTCTCTCCCCCTCACCCCCTACCCCCAGTCCTGTAAAAATAAGGCTGTCACAACATTTTGTACAAAGATCTTCATAAATTGGTACTTGCTTATCTAGGGTATAAAATTCCAGAGGTGGGATTGCTGGGTCAGAGGATTTTTTATGTTTGCCAGTCTGGGGGATGGGAAATAGCTTCTATGTGTTCGCTTAATTTGCATTGGCCTGTTTACTATAAGGTGGAGCATCTTTCCATATATTCACCAGCTCTTTGGATTTTCTCTTGTGTCAACCGGAATTCATATCCTTTGCCCATTTTTTTTTTTACTGGGTTTGTCTTTGCACTATGAATTTGTGGGAGTTCAAAGTAGGATATTAACGTGCTTTCTGTCACATGTGTTGCAAATATATTTTCCCATTCTGTCATTTTTCTTTTGATTTAATAGGGTATCTTTCTTCATACTAGATGTTTTAATTTGTGTAGTCAGATATGTTTATCTTTTTCTGACTGGCTTTTCAGTTTCCTGTTTTGTTTTAAGCCTCCTTAACACATAGGCTATATTCCTAAGGTTCCTTCTTTATTTTCCCTTGTTTTATTTTCTCATTTAAACATGCAGTCTCTCTGGAATTTATTTTTGTCTAAGGTAGGCTTCAACATTATTTTCTTCCATGAGGATAGCCAGATTTAGCAGCTTCCAGTACAGACTGGGTTTGGACAACGTGTCCTGAAGCTAAAGAAGTTTCAAAATCCCTTTCAGGTGGTCTTTAGGGGCCCTTCCAGGTCTGACATTCTCTGACTCCATAACGCCCAGTACAGCGACTGCTTGCTAAGAGAGAGAAGGCAATGCACAGCATTACTTATGAAAAAGTAATTTCAATATTAAATCCCAAGTTGGCTCAAAGTGGATATTAGAATCACAACATTTTAGAGGCAGAAGGGACCTTGGAAATTAGGTAGTCTAATTGCTCTCAATTCTGGCTGAATTACCTGGGAACCTATAACAAGTCCTGGCGCCTCTCGCCCCCTCCCCCCTGCCCACCCCACCCCCGAGCCAGGCCAGACCAAGTGAGTCAGTCCTTGGGGATAGGGCCCAGGCAGGGGTTGATTTTAAATCCCCTGGTGATTCTAATAAGCAGCCAGGGTTGAGAACCACTTCTCTAGTTCAACTCCCTTATTTCACCAATGAATAAACTGAGACCCAGAAGAGGTGAACTAGGTGTCACACAGCTGGCTAGCTGGCGCTGGAGCCCAGGTCTCTGCTCCTGGATTGCTTTTCCATCCATGTCAAACAAATCCATCAAGCACCATACCTTGGATTTTCAGCTGGCGCCACTAAGATCTCTGTGTGAGTGCTTTGTACCTTTGCATATGATCAGCTTTAAAATGTTTACTGTATGCAATTCTGTACATCGCAGGTGTGTAGACTAGTTCTGCCTTGCCGGACCTTAATGAGGAACAGGGTTATAAAGAACTATGATAATGATAAAAGACAGAGGAAACAAATGGCTCATACAACTGGAGGAGCCTACTGAGGGGATGGGGGTGCAGAAGTAGGAAGAGTTCCCTTGGCAGGAAGTCAGGGGCACTGCAAGCAGGAGGTGGTATTTGAATTGGGCCTCGATGGCGGAGCATCCGTGCTGCACTTCCTTCCCTGGAGCTGTGCTGGCGACCTCAGTGACACAGGGGCAAGGTTTCAGGGCAGAAAGGCCTTGGGGTGAGAGAGCCGTGCTGGGCCCAGCCTGTCCAGGCCGAGCTCTGACCTTCTTCCTCTGCTCTGCCCTCAGGAATGAGACCGTGCTGCACCAGTTCTGCTGCCCAGCCGCCGATGCCGAGCAGAAGCCGTCCTGCGCAGACCCGGCCTCCCAAAGGTGGGAAGTCATTGGTGGATGGTCCTCCCCTCCCCACCCCACAGTCCTTCCCCTCGGAGCAAAGCACACACCACTGCACCATTTGGCCTCTTCCTTGAGTCTTGTGCTGTTGCTTGTTTGTTTTTACCTCCTTCCTCATACTTCCATTTCTCTTTGCTTCCTCTGGACCCCAGATGAGCCATTCCCAACTTTTGAGGTCATTATGCCCTTTCCTATACTGCTCCCCTCTAAGTGACCCGTGTAAAATACATTTTTAAACATCAAGGGAAATGAATGTGGCTGTAATTACAGAGCACAGTAGGATGCTGGCACTCAGTAGTTGTTCAATGAGAGGGCCCATCTTTCCTCTTATATCAAATATTTCCATTTGTCTTCCTGATTTTTCTCCTTCCATAACGACGACAAGATGACTGACTTTAATTTCAGGGATTTTTCAACCTTTGATGAGTTAGCTAACAACTTGGGAAGGACGGGGAGTAGTGAAAAGTCAAGATTTGGTGTCACTGTCCCAGGCTTTCTCCTTCATCTTGTTTTGAGTTATTCATACGCCCTCTTTCTTCCTGTCTCCTTCCCCTGTGTTCTCTCTCCATCATGCTTTCATCTTTCTCCTCCCACATTCATCTATCTGGCTGCCCTGCTGCTCCTCCATTCCCGTCTTTTCCACCCACATCAATTTCCGCTCCCTCTCATCTTGATGTGTGTGCTGTCAGTCTCTGTCCCTTATCCCACTTCATTTCCTTCTCTTTTCCACCAATTTTTCTGTCTCACAGTTCTGCACATTTCTCTTGTTCTTTACTTCACTCAGTCATGATCCTTCGATTTGGGACAAAAATTTCCCCCATGTATAGTCTCCTGTTGTCAGAATGAATTTGGGCAAGTGACTTAACTCCCCTGGGCCTCAGTTTCCACATCAGTATAATGAAGGGGTTGGTCTGTCTAGAACATGGCACTTACATGTAACCTCACTGAGCTGCTCGCCTGCTTAGGAGAACAAGACCAGGCAGGTGTTATAACCGCTGTCTTACCTGAGAGGCGAGTGAGCTCAGAGACTCAAGGGACTGGCCCGCAGTCACACAGCCAGGAAGTATCGAAGCCCAGATGCACCCTTACGGCGTTTGACTCCCTGCTCGCCACTTCCAGGCTTAAGATTTAACAATCCCATAATCGTTCCCTTTCTTCCTTGGAAAATAACTAGATGATAATCAGAGATTATGGCTGTCAAGCTAAGGACAGAAAATGACCGCCTGGAAGGTGTTACTACTCATTTCCCTTAAAGAAATTAGAGGGGCTGGGCATGAGGCAGGACACTGAGGAGGGAACTATGGCAGTGGGGCCACCTCCAGACCATTCAGTCCGGGGCTTCAGGAGGCATGTGTTCCCTGCAGCCGACCACGTTAGAGGACGGAAGGCAAAGGGAAGGACCAGGCCCTGTGCCATGCCCTGGGTGGTCTGTGCCACGTTCTGTGCCGGGACACAAGGAGCTCCCCATCTAGTGGGACATCGCGATGCCTCGAAATGGGAAATGGCTCACCTGGAAACTGGAAGGAAGAAGAGAAATGGGAGAATGAGAAAGTGGAAAGGAGAGAGGACAGAGGGTGGAGTGGTGTGAGGGTGGTCTGGGAAGAAAGAGATAGGGAGCCCTGGCTCCTTCCATGAGCTGTCACTGTTCAGACACGCGGCTGAGTCTTCTTCCTAAAAGATGTCCTCCCTGGCAGCGAAGGAGAAGCAAGGAAAGCTGTGTAGTCTGCCTCCCACCCCCTCAGTCCAACTCATTTCAGTGGACAGGCAATTGCTGCTCCCTGAGCACCGGGCATTGGTGAGGATGGGTAACTGTTTACCCTCACAATGTCAGCGCCAGGGGCCCCAGCAACAGAAATCTTCCCTTGAGTTTTCCTTGGTCCTTCCTCTCTCTTGCACTCACCCCTCCCACTCTTTCACGTGCTAACACTCTTCTGCTGGACCCACCCTGCGGTCTGGCTCCTGGTAGGAAGGGGTGGGAGAGAGGCCGGTGTATGTGGAGGCAGGGAAGGGTGCTGCCCCTATGGGACCTGGGCTCCAAGGGAATCGGGTTCTTCTCCAAGATTTGGGGTGAGATGGTAGGAAACCTATTGAAGGGCAGGCCCCAAGGTTGGGTGGAGGTGCTCTAAGGAGGGAGGGAGGTGGGTGGAAGGTTCAGGGAGGGGCTTGTAAGTGCTGCCTATGGCAGCCCTCCCCTCGGGGTGGGGCAGGGAGGCTTGCACCCAAGTTGGTCCAGCTGTTGTCTGTCTCCGTTCCCAGGTATTCCAAGTTGTCTTGTCTGTCTGGTTTGTAGTTTCCTAGAGTGTGTTTCTGTCTGTCTGTCTCTCTGATGACAGTTTCTCGGCTTCTCTGGAAGAAGGCTACCTCCATGTTTTCTGACAGTGTATGTGTCAGTCAATCTGTCTATTCTTGGATTCTTGGGAGAATTGCATCCTGAGATAAATTTTCTCCCATCAGACTCCCAACATCCCTGCTCCCAACCCTATCCATGACTCCTTCACAGTTCTGAATGCGTCCCGCCTCCAGTGTAGCTCAAGCTCCCCCACTCCCACCATCACCCCTTGAGTTTCTCTACAAGGAAGTAGAGGTCAGAGAACAGGCTGAGGGCCAGCTCAGGGTGGGCGGGTCACAGAGCCTCCAAGACAAGCCAGGCTCCTCCCCACTGGTCAGTCTGGTTTCCCACCAGCTCAGCCAGCCTCAAGCTCCTCCGAGAATTTCTAGGAATTTGCCAGTTGATCTCTACAGAGGGCACCAATATAAGGAACCCAAACCAATCATCAGATCTAGGGTCATTGGGGCCTTTCTTGTGTGACCTCAGAGCTGGCCACAGAGACCCCCTCACCTTCTTCCTCTGTACTCTGACGCCAGTGGTGACCAAGGCCAGCACAAGTGTGAGGGGGTGCCTGTCCCCTCCCTGCATCCACCCCAAGCTGTGGGACTGAGCAAGAATCCCTTTCTATGAGCCACTGGGCTCATGCCCTGGGGGCTGCAGTGGCAGCTGATCTGTGTAAGCCTATCACCCACAGCAGATCCTCGGTAGAGAGGAGCTGCTGCGGCCGCCTGAGGCAAACCCTCAGCCCAGGGGAGAGCCCCAGGGCCCCATAGATCCTCACTTCCTTCCAAAGAGGGGGTTGCTCCAGCCTCTTAGTGTGTGCTAGCACAGCCTCCCCCGCCACCTGTAGAGCAGCCTTTGGGGGATGGGCTCAGGAGAAATCTCTCTGGGGACCTGGAGCCTGCCAGGAGGTGATGCTTCAAGAAGTGGGAAGAGCAAGTCCGGCAGCTGCTGTCTCACAAAGGGGATGCTGAGTGGTAGGCATTGTGTCCTGGGTACAATGGAACAGTTATGGGGCCGGCACAGAGTTATCATGGGCTCCATTGTGCTTAGGCACACACATCCCTAGGCAACAGCTTGTGCTTACTAGGGTAATAGGCCCTCAGGTGAGAACTGGGCCCAGAGCCAGCCAGGGGGCAGCAGGCCGTGCCAGCCTCTTTCATCCCCCTTCCCAGCTCCTTCCCGCTGCTAGCTGACGGCAAGGCTTTATTCTGGGGAATTGAATAGACTAGTAATTGCAGCCCTACTTTTTATGGGGAGGGGGGGCTCCCTCTCAGGCTCTCGGTGACATTTGGAACAACGACCCTGGCGCTGGGCAGCTGCCTCCCGGCATCTAGCCCATTTGTCTCCGTGGGTGGCAATGAGGCAAGACGAGGAAGACTGGCTTCTATGAGGTCAATTTCGGGAGGCTGGAGGGGTGGAGGTCAGAGAGAGGAGGTGCTAGGGAGGAAACAGAACAACCCCCAGCCCTGGGGACGAGGAGGGGATAGGAGTGTGGATGATGGCATTCTGGGCCCCAGCAAACGAACTGACTCACCCCAATATTTGGGCCTTCCTTCTCAACCACCCTGTCCTGTTCCAGGATGGAAGAGAGACTCACATTTATTCAACACAATATTTATTGGACATGCCAGGGTTGTTGCACTGAGCACGCTCAATATTTTGTCTCACCGAATTCTTTGAGATACTGCTACTCCCATTGACAGATAGGGAATCTGGGAAGGAGAGAAGTTCGGTACCTTGATAGAGGGACCACTGCGAATCAGCCTGGAGCTGGAAGGTGAGCCCAGGTCTAACTCCAAAACGTAACCTCTTTGCACAGAGCTGCTGCTAGGATTTTTTTATTGAATAGCATAGGAGAAGTTCGAGACATTTCATTAAGTCCTAAATAACATTTATTTTCTCTGATTACAAGTTACACACTTGCTAGTTGTTGGATATGTGGAAAATACAGGAACATAAAGAAAATAAAAATTGAATACAGTCAGATAGAATTAACCACTGTCAATATGTTAGTGCACAAGCTTCTGGGGTTTTATTTTTCTCTGTACTGGGTTTTTCATGTGCCCCCGTTAAAAAATAAGGATACTGTGGCCTGCATGTCCCACTGACAGCATACATTCATTGAGAAAGCCTCCTGCCCTAACCAGAACCTCCTGGTGCCTCCACTCCTCTTGTCTGTCACCTGCTAACCAGCCCGAAGAGTGTGAGCGGCAGAGGCTGAGGCCCCTGAGGAAGGGACACCCTTCCAAGGATGGCTGTCACGGGGAGCCCTGTGTTAGCTGGCGCTGTCCTGTGCATCCGGGGACTTCCCTCTCTCCCCAGCCTGCCTGAGACATGATCAATAGACCCTCCAAGTTTACTCAGCCTTTATGGAGCAATTAAATTCTCAGTCAATACAGTTTAGTCTTCAAACCGCTGGGCTTGGGAGCTTTGGTGTCAGTGCCTACTCTGTTTGTCACGTCCGAGGCTCAGAGGCTGCTGGGAAACCTGCCCACCCACCAGTAGGAGGGGGTGGGTCGTTCTGAGGCTGCAGAATTGTGTGCTCCCAGTCCCTAGAGGCACAGAGAAGCCTCAGCTTCCCTCCCAAGCCCTGGGGTGAGGGTTTGCTGGGGGCAGGCCAGTCGTTAGTTCCCAGAAGCCTTTGCAA